GGCTACTTTGCTCAGAGTGATGCAACCTTAGGAAGCCTCTCTCAGCATTCTTCCAACGACACCCTCCTTGTACAGTGTACATAAAGGGGGACAAAGAATGCAGCAGCCCTTTTGGGATCTGAGCAACTGACTTGAAATAAAAGGCATTTTGCGCTTTATAGAGTGTCTAATATACTAGCATTCTCGTGGGGAAAGGCTTACTCAGTTTTCTTAGTTCTGTATGCAGACGGTTCCAAGCAGTGCTTAGTTTACAAGGTGTTATTCCAATGCAGCACACCCAGAATGGGCACTCAATTTACCTTGGAGAAATACGGCACTGAATCATTCCTATAAGTCTTCAAAAAAGAAGACACTGGGGAGTGTTTTAAATTTAATACTTAAATTATACAATCAAGTGTGTTTGAAGAGTCAGACTTTCCAACTGTTGGCGCTAAGGGGCAAGATGTGACATCTGATCATCTCTGCACAGATGGAGAAGTGTGGCAAGAAACACTCAAGGACATTCCAGGTCTTCGCTAACAAATCTGATCACCAAATAGAACGTAGACTAGTCCATGGCAGAGCAGCTGCTGGGAAGCTGAGCCCACATGTACGTCCCGCCTAATTCACAGGGCTTTGAGGAGAGGCAAGGGTCACATAGGCAAGCTGCAAGTTGATACCTAGTGAGAGAAGCCACCTTTCTCGCTGGAGTTTCCTCCATTTTAACTAAATGCCAATACAAGAGAGAATCCTTCACGTCTACGGGTCTAGGGACCTCTATTTGGAAAGCGACTAGGAGGAATCACGAGTGTCATTTTTACTTGTTTAAATCCCTGCTCAGAACTGAAAAAAAAAGTTAGAAAAGGAAGCCAGAGTGAGATGAAAGTAAGGATCTCTGGGGGTTAAGTGCTGTGCACTGTCTTCTAAACTTTCTTCTGTGCCAATAACTTGTTGCTGCTAGAGGAACTCATGGGGGCAAAAAGCAGAGACAGGGTGGGGGTGCAAGGCAGTCAGTTTTTCTATTGTCTGCATTGGTTGAAAATGTCACCCACATACTTTTTAACTGAGGAGTTCTCTGCTGTGGGTGGTGTAGGAGCCTTCCTCTCTGCTTAGAGATTTTTGGCGTCTGATCTGAGAATTAACCACAAGTGATTCTTCAGCTCCCTTTCAGTTTACTTTTTAGTTATGTTTCTCCTATTTCTGGAGCAGTGATCAGATACACGACTCCCACCACTCAGAGTCATTAACTTATAAGAAAATTGTGAGTCAGACTGACATAGTTATAGCACACCACCAGGAGATCTTTAGTGTCAACTGCTAAAATGATGATCATGTATATATATAGCTCAGGACTTGGAAGCTAAGGAGTCATATGATGCTGGATAAAAGCTCTAAATAAACATTTTTTTGGTCCCAGAAGAAAAATCAGAACTGGCCTTCCAGGTTTCCTAATTAGCAGTCACTATCATGTTCTAGTTATAAGTCGCCTTTATTAGTTACTAAGTGCCAATAGTTACGTGGAATAGAAGAAGGCAGTATTTCTACACTAAGGATTTATTTTTAGACAGCAAGTCTCCAGAAAAATCCTAAGCAACAAGAAACTTCTGTTTCCAGCGTAGTGTATTTTTCATAGTTTGCATGACTATTTTTCCGCATCTGCTTCTGTCATGTCTGTACAGGAACATCACAGGTACCGAGGGAGAATGCTATTCTACCGGAAACATCAGTAAAAGGCCTATTTTTCAGTATAATGTGGAAAGATAGGAGAATAAAAAATTGTTCAAGGAAATCTGTAACACAAACGATAGAAGGGCTTCAGAAGATAAAATAAGAATTTCAGGAGAAACCATACATCAAAATTGATAAAAATTAGAATAGGAACCTTCCCCAAAGTTAGGGTTGCGGAAGAGTTTTGCTTTTGTCCTTCCAGGAAAATAAAAAAAAAAAAAAGAAAAGAAAAAAACCAACCATCTTGAAGTTTGCAAAGAGCCAACAGATAGGAAGAAACAAACAGAAAAGATTGTCCAAATAAGCATCCTAAGAGGAAGAGAGAATTGTCCAGAAAAATTACCAAGAAAAGTAATAATACAACCTAATGCATTATCTCAAGTCCCCAAAAATAAGATGGAATCCCAGCCAGGTGGAGGTCTCTTAAAAGACTTTTCTGTTTGTTTCTTCCTACCTGTTGCCTCTTTGCAAACTATGGAAGTCAATCCTGTTAATTCCAAAATGGTTTGAATCCAAGACCCACTTTCCAAAGAGGTACAGAAAGTCTATAGCTATCAACGCAATTGTAATATGAGAGTTGGATAAACCTAAGAAATTCCTTATCTCCTTCGAGGTGGGTGCCTGTGCCCCCAGAGACAGCCAGAGGCATCGTATCCGGGATGCAGTTGCAGGGAGATGGCAGTTTCCTGATATGAATACTAGGAACTGAACCCAAGTCATTTGAAAATGTAATGTCTGTTTTTAATCAGAGAGCCACATTCCCAGTGCCAAGGGCTTCTTAATTATAGTTCTACCTTAAAATACCTGCTATCAAATATATTTTTTCATTTAATATACTGATCATAGTCTAGCTGGTCCCTGAATCTCTCTATAGATTCTCTATCTTTACTCCTAATCAGAAAAGTCCCAAGAACTTTTCTCCACTTGGCAAGAAGACCACTCAACAGAAAAGTCAAGTCTTTGGACATCAGATCCTAAAAGAGGACAGTCAAGTTGTTAATTTCCCTGATGATAACATTTAACAAGTTTAACTGAGGTTTCAA